GACCTCCCATGTAGTCAGGTACCGACAACAGAAAACTGCTAGTTACAGTGCTGCTCAGTAATATTCTTTGCTGATAAAATGCACGTTTATTTTAACTATTGGAATAAACTATTATTCAGTACTTTTTTACCGTTTTAAAAATTAAATAAATACTCTTTTTTTTTTTTACAAAATCAGATGGGCTTGGCAAAACCCTCTAGCTTTGATAGATTCTTCAGTTTATGTATTTTTATCTTCAGTTTGAAATATTATTAACAGTACATGTGTGTTTATAAATATTCCAAATCATATTGACAGTATATTCAAGTAAATTGAAAAGCACTAGTTAGGGATTCTGAAAAGAATTCAATTTTTTAATTTTTGAAAGTGTTTAAAAATTGCACATCAGTTGAATCTTTTTTAAAAAGAGTTTTTGTACTTTCACACAAATTACACAAATACACATCAGTTGTACGTATCATAGAAGTCAGCTTGACATACGACAAAATAAATGGAAGGTGCATTTCAAGTGAAGACAAGTCGACTGCTTGTATTCCTAAAATTGTTAGATTTAAAAACTTTTAAAGTAAACTCTTAAGTCTTGTGTTAAAGTTAAATTAAATTGAAACATTTTATTTTTCTAAATTCTTAAAAATTTGTGATGATCGGTCTTAAAAAAGCTACAAAAAGTACCCCAAAAATGCTGGAAAATGCACCATTTAGAACCATTTAAAACAAAATTTTCTCGGGGGAGGCCCCCGAACCCCCCTCCAACACCCCCTCCCATGCCCTCCCCCTTCGGCCCTTTGGGCCTCAAACCCCACCCCACCCCCCCATGAACTTCTGGATCCGCCACTGCATTAGGAAGGATAACTTTATCTATAATCTACAAAGACAATACTTATAAACATCTGATTGCAAAGGGGCTTAAGGGAGGTAATTTTAACAACGGAATACCACTTCAGTAGGTTAAAAAAAGATTTCAAAAAATTTACACATTAACAAGATTAATGAGACGTTTAATTTTAACATGACCTTTGTAAACATTTTCCCTAATTTTTAGTTGGCGGGAAACCTTGATCCAGCAGAAGAACATGTGAAATAAATACTTTCTTGTGTCGTACACGTTATATTATAGAATAATTTCACCAAATACATATAGAAAATTATTTTTACTGATAAAGGCAATGTCACATACCACATAAAGGTCTGTTAAGGGAAACACGACGCTGATTCTAGCGGGGTCAGTGGAAATGGCTACAGATATTCCCGGCAAAAGTGCAGAATTCGGGTGGTTTCGCCCCAATACCTTGTTCGCTCTGAGTGGTTTCGCCCCTTAGGTGTTCGCGCTGAGTAGATTCGCCCCCATTGCATGCCATTGGGTTTACCGATAATTAATGTGATTGCCGGATGGTCGTTTAATCAGTACACTAATGATGAGCAGCTTAATAAAAATTAAAGATGAAAGGCCGCCTTTGTGTTTTTTTTACCAAAAGTTTTATTCGGTATTACCATAACATTTTTTTTTTACAAAGGCAACATGTAGAGCTCTGTATCCATTAATGTATCCATCGATAAACTGTAAGTTGTTTTTTTTGTTACACTAAAAATATAGGGGAATATTAAATGTATTTATTAATTTATATAGGCCCTATTTACTTGTCTATTTAAATAAATGAATCGAGTATACACATTGCATTATATTTCATGCCGGATGGGTTAATTTTGAATTCGTAAAGATTTTCACTCGATATCAGATATCATTTAATTATCTAATTACTGCTGCATATGTGTAACATAAATCACTACATAGAAGAACATATACATACCCTGTAGTTAAAAGGCGCGAAACCATTGAGCTCGATACCACTCAGCGCGAACACGTAATCGGAGCTAACCCACCCGTCACCATAGATTTAAAACAAGTTTAACATGTTGTGAGATGGCCCCTTTGCTTAACCGGATGTCCATCTTTTGAATTAGAAGGTAAAAACAATCATTCAATGCTGAGATGGTAAGTTTCATAGTTCGAGTTTGTTTTTCCAAGAAAGTTTGTTTACAACAATTTATAATTCCTCTTTTTGATTTATTATAATTTTATCATGATTTTTAATTTATGTATGATTCTTCTGATGCAACATAGTTGAAGCCTTTTACACAATGTCATGCCCTTAGCATCTAAATGTACAGTAGTTGAGTAATGTCTAAACCTGTAATTGTGTAGGTTGTCTACATTGAAGCATATAGTCCATGCTTGGTTTTTTAGGTCACCTGAGTAACTCAGGTGACCTATTGCTATCTGTTTTCGTCCGTCGTCGTGTGTCGTGTGTTAACATTTGAACATTTTCAGCTTCTTCTCTGAAACCAACCAAATTTGGTATGCAGCATCTATGGGTAAAGGGGAACATAAATTGTGAATTTCATGGTCCCTACCCCCCCCCCCTTGGGCCTGGGGGTGGGGCCAAAACCACTAAAATTATTGCAATCTTTAAAAATCTTCTCCTTTACTCCTGGACATTGAGTCCTCTACCAAAATTGTGAAATTCATGTCCCCAGGGTCAGGGGTTCTAGTGCTAGGGTGGGGCTATATAGATTATATAGTGAAAATGCATTATTTCTTTAAAAATCTTCTTCTCTGCTCCTGGGTATTAAATAAACTAAGTACATAGTTATGATGAGCAAGAGTGCCTCTTCCAAAACTGTGAATTTTATGGCCCCAGGGTCAGGGGTTCTAGCGCTAGGGAGGGGCTATATAGATTATATAGTGAAAATGCATTATTTCTTTGAAAATCTTCTTCTCTGCTCCTGGGTATGAAATAAACTAACTAAGCACATAGTTATGATGAGCAAGAGTGCTTCTTCCAAAATTGTGAATTTTATGGCCCCAGGATCAGGGTTCTAGTGCTAGGGAGAGGCTATATAGATTATATAGTGAAAATACATTAATAGCCATTCTTTGTAACCACTTAAACTTTGTTGCCACGCATGGTCACCGATTTTGATGAAACTTCACCCATGCTTAGTACTTGACACCAGAAACAAATATCAAACAAAATTTCGTTGCTATGTGTCTCGGTTGCTATGGCAACAGCCGGAAAAGTTTTAAAAATCGAGATTTTCAACCACTTTAAACCTTGACTGTGGCTTAATAAAAACTAGAAAAAGCAAACAAAACATTCTCACAAAAACATGACACCTTGACGTCACTTATACTGTAAAGAAACTGTTTAGAATATATCTCTAAGTAAGTGGTAACCAAGGGTACATTTGGAATACATTTAAAATGCTGAAATATGATGAAAAATACTCCGTATTCACTAACGGTAGGTGTTACATGCTCAAACTCAATCAACAACATAAGAAAAACAATGAAAATGTTTGACCTTAAGTATATAAGTATAAACAATATCAATATATAAATAACTTTTATGGTTGCCATGGTAACACAAATTAACCATGCAAAACCAGTCACTAAGATTGGGTTAATGCTACTGTCTTGAGGAAAAACATGAAAATTCAAGACTGGCAAATATGCATCCTTAGGACCTTGCAACACCAAAACCATAAGAAAAATTGGGTATAATTGCTACTTTGCAGTGTTGCCATGGAAACAAAGTACCAGTGCTTAACAGTGAATTTTTTTCGCTGCATTAAGAATTAAATTGCCATTTAATCAAGAAACAAATTAAAGGACTCGGCTTTAATAATACTTATCTGTTAGAACTGAAGTTGAATATCATATATTGATAAAATTTGATGAATAAAACAACACTGTTGCTATGGTTACCAAGAAGGGAAAATGTTCGATTTTGTGAACTTTATATCAATATTAAACCCTGTGTGCCAACTTCTTGCATCCACTTAGAGATTGGATGATAGTCAAAATTAAAAGTCAAGTTAGCTGTTAATAAATATCAATCATAAAAGTTTTTGGAATCTACATTTAAGGGAACGTATCCAAGGAAAGAAAATATTTTGCAGGTTTTTAAGCATATATTTTCTGCTTATTTCCATAGCAACGCTCTATTTAAAGAATCTAATCTGAATTTTTTCAAATGGGAAAACTTGGAGCACACTAGCATCTTATAAAATTGATCATTAGTTATGAGGAAATGTGCTTTTTTAAAAGATAGGATCAGATTTAAACATACAGATTGTTACTTTGAAGGCTCCCTGTTTTATAAAAACCTTGGCAACCATTGCCAACCAAAATGAAATATCATATTTTGTTCTTAGTATATGTTTCAAGGCTCTTTTTTCTATCATTTGGTCACATTTCATCCTATGACTGCTTTTTATTTTTACGTGTATGACTTTATAAAATTCAATGAATATTTTTTTTTTTTACTTTTGAATACTTTGTTACCATAGTAACGTATGTAATAGTTGATTTACCAAACATGTTTGTCATGCAATGCATTTGAGACATCTGACCTTCACCTTTTGGAAACAGTCATTGCCAATTGTTTGCTTTGCCGCAAATCTTAACTATGGGGCTCTAAACATGTTAAAAATGCCATTTTTCGAACTTTAAGACATGTTGCCATGGTAACTATAAAGCGTAGCAACCAATATTTGCCTGATTTCAGTTTAGGGTATCAATGACTTTTATCATAGAGAGTTTGGAGAAATTCTGAGACTATGCGTGCCACAGCTCCTATATAAAATTTCAAATCATTACAGAGAATGGCTCTTAATTCTTTGAAAATCTTTTCTTTTGCTCCTGGGTTTTATGCCAATGATCCATATATATATATTTATGATGAAGAAAGGTGCATCTAAAAAATGGTTATTTTTTATGTCCCCCCCCCCCCTGGGTCGGGGTAGGGGGGTTACATAGTCTGAAAATAAATTAATGCTTTGAAATCTGCTCTTTGGTATTAATCAACCATTTTATGATAAAATTTGCAAAATTTTGAAATATATGGCACCATGGTCCGTGGTTCCTTTGGGTGAGGTGCAAAACTGGTTATATAGTGGAAGTACATTTTCTCTTTGTTACTCTGATCAACCTCTGGGTATTAATTAATAGAGTAAGCATGCTAAGTTTATAATTATGATAAGCAATGGTGCCTCTTTCAAAATTATGAATTGTAAATTTCATGGCCTCTTGTTTAAAACACAAACCAAAGTTATTTGTTTGAAAGTTGTTACACGATACTCAGGTGACCTATAAGGCCCGTGGGCCTCTTGTTTAATTTCAGTGCAAATAAGATAATGATTTACAATCATTTCTTTTTCAGACATCTCATGAGTCAGAGGATACTTGGACAAATATGTACTTTGAGTTTGACGTTTAAAAAGCTAGTACATTTTATACCACAGAAATCTCTTTATACAACTTTATTGATTCAGACTGGGAAGTTTGAGGCCTTGAGTTCCAATCTACCAGCAGCTCGCTACAGTTTTCATTCCTCTGTTTTGAGATCCATGGCAGAAAATAAGTATGAAAATTTAATTGTGGAACCCCCCCCCCCCCCCCCCCAATTCAGCCAGTGTTATAAGCTGAATTTACTCATAGATCTTTGCACATTTACGTTTTGAATTGGTCAAGGCGTGTGTTAATATTTTAATATTCTATAAATTTTGGTAGATATATCACGGGATATGCCAAACTCGGAACATCAAGTTGCAAGAAATGTAAGCAGAAGATTGACAAAGGAAGTCTCCGCATTGGAAAGGTGGTGTCCAATCCATTTTCTGATGAAGGCGGTGACATGAAGCAGTGGTTTCACCCACAATGCATTTTTGAGACCTTTAAAAGAGCTCGGGCGACCACGAAAAAGATTGAAGAACCAGATGATTTGGAAGGATTCACAGAAATTGAGCAATCTGATAAAGATCTCATCAACAAATTAATTAAAGGTTTGAAATAAAGGAACAGTACTGTATAAAAAGCATGCTGAAACTGTATGATAGCATTATTTAATTCTCTAGTCCTTCTGTTTGACCTTGGCACAAAATTTGCCCAAAATCATAATTAATTTATACTTATATCTCTGAGAATAGAATATGTTTTGTTTCCGTATTTAAATGCAAAATTAAATGATTAGTATACACTGACATGAAAATGTAATCAGTTCTGTGACAATATATAATTTCATAATCTACCATCCAAAGGAATATTCACATTATCTACCCATTGAGTGGAATTCAGGTGTTTATTTTGTATTATATTTTGGTGTCTGTTTTCAGAATTTGTTGCCAACTCCAACAGCAAGTCTCCAGGGTCAGCTAAGAAAAAACCAGTTGCCACTGTACAAGCAACTCTCCCTTTCTCTCCCACAAAACCAAAAGTAAAAGTAGAGCCAGATGACGAAGGTAATGAGTGGAGAAGCTATGTGTATGTACTGTAGACGTACTTTTTTCCAGGGGGTCATAATTCCGCGGAATCTCTATTCCTGTTCAATCCGCTGGTAGTAAATTGCGCAGATATCTTAAGACTCTCTATATATGCCTTATTATACCCCGTTCTGAAGGAGAGGGGGGTATACTGTTTTACTCTTGTGTGTCTGTCTGTCTGTCTAGCTGTCCGTGTAGCTGTGTGTCCGTCCGAAACAAATTTTCGTCACAGTTTTCTCAGCAACTACTCATCGTAGATGCTTGAAATTTTAACACAATCCTCTCTGAGGCATGCCATATGGTGGGATACATTTTTACTCAAATCTGATGTCAACTTCCTGTTTGTCTGTGCGTCTGTCCGTTTCATACATAACAAAATTTCGTCGCAGTTTTCTCAGCAACTACTCATAGTAGATGCTTGAAATTTTAACACAATCTTCTATGAGGCATGCCATATAGTGGGATACATTTTTGTTTATTTCCTGTTTGTCTGTGCGTCTGTCCGTTTCATACATAACAAAATTTCGCCACAGTTTTCTCAGCAACTACTCATCGTAGATGTTTGAAATTTTAACTTAATCTTTTCTGAGGCATGCCATATGGTGGGATACATTTTTGTTTAGATCAAATATCAACTTCCTGTTTGTCTGTGCGTCTGTCCGTTTCATACATAACAAATTTTCGTCGCAGTTTTCTCAGCAACTACTTATTGTAGATGCTTGAAATTTTAACACAATCTTCTATGAGGCATGCCATATGGTGGGATACATTTTTGTTTATTTCCTGTTTGTCTGTGCGTCTGTCCGTTTCATACATAACAAAATTTCGCCACAGTTTTCTCAGCAACTACTCATCGTAGATGTTTGAAATTTTAACTTAATCTTTTCTGAGGCATGCCATATGGTGGGATACATTTTTGTTTAGATCAAATATCAACTTCCTGTTTGTCTGTGCGTCTGTCCATTTCATGCATTACAAAATGTCGCAGTTTTCTTAGCAACAACTCATTGCAGATGCTTGAAATTTTAACACAGTCTTCTCTGAGGCATGCCATATGGTGGGATACATTTTTTAGCTCACCTGAGCTGAAAGCTCAAGTGAGCTTTTCTGATCACATTTTGTCTGACGTCCGTCTGTCTGTCCGTTTGTCTGTAAACTTTTCACATTTTCGACTTCTCAAGAACCGCTGGGCCAATTTCAACCAAACTTGCCACAAAGTATCCTTGGGTGAAGGGGATTCAAGTTTGTTCAAATGAAGGGCCGCGCCCTCATTCAAGGGGAGATAATTGGGAATTAATGAAAATTTGGTGGCATATTTTAAAAATCTTCTTCTCAAGAACCACTGTGCCAGGAAAGATGAAACTTATGGGGAAACATCCTCAGGTAGTGTAGATTCAAGTTTGTTCAAATCATGACCCCCCGGGGTAGGGCGGGGCCAAAATGGCCGACCAAAGTTTTACATAGAAATATATAGGAAAATTCTTTAAAAATCTTCTTCTCAAGAATGGCAAAGCCATAATTGATCATATTTATATGGAAGCATGTTCAGGTAGTGTAGATTCAAATTTGTTCAAATCATGACCCCCGGGGGTAGGGCGGGGCCAAAATGGCCGACCAAAGTTTTACGTAGAAATATATAGGAAAATTCTTTAAAAATCTTCTTCTCAAGAAGGACAAAGCCATAATTCATCATATTTATATGGAAGCCTGCTCAGGTAGTGTAGATTCAAGTTTGTTCATATCATGACCCCTGGGGGTAGGGCGGGGCCAAAATGGCCGACCAAAATTTTACATAGAAATATATAGGAAAATTCTTTAAACATCTTCTTCTCAAGAAGGACAAAGCCATAATTCATCATATTTATATGGAAGCATGCTCAGGTAGTGTAGATTCAAGTTTGTTCAAATCATGACCCCCAGGGGTAGGGCGGGGCCAAAATGGCCGATCAAAGTTTTACATAGAAATGTATAGGAAAATTCTTTAAAAATCTTCTTCTCAAGAATGTCAACGCCATAATTCATCATATTTATATGGAAGCCTGCTCAGGTAGTGTAGATTCAAGTTTGTTCAAATCATGACCCCCGGGGGTAGGGCGGGGCCAAAATGGCCGACCAAAGTTTTACATAGAAATATATAGGAAAATTCTTTAAAAATCTTCTTCTCAAGAAGGACAAAGCCATAATTCATCATATTTATATGGGAGCATGTTCAGGTAGTGTAGATTCAAGTTTGTTCAAATCATGACCCCGGGGGTAGGGCGGGGCCAAAATGGCCGACCAAAGTTTTTAAAGATATATATAGGAAAATTCTTTAAAAATCATTTTCTATAAAATAGCAAATCCATGATTGGTCATGGGACTACTTTTGGATTTAAACTTTACAATAAAAAGCCATTTTCTACTTTTTCCTACCCTTAGTGCTCAGGTGAGCGATGTGGCCCATGGGCCTCTTCTGTTTAAATCAAATATCAACTTCCTGTTTGTCTGTGCGTCTGTCCGTTTCATACATAACAAAATTTTGTCACAGTTTTCTCAGATGCTTGAAATTTTAACACAATCTTCTCTGAGGCATGCCATATGGTGGGATACATTTTTAGCTCACCTGAGCCGAAGGCTCAAGTGAGCTTTTCTGATCACATTTTGTCCGGCGTCCGTCTGTCCGTCTGTCTGTAAACTTTTCACATTTTCGACTTCTTCTCAAGAACCGCTGAGCCAATTTCAACCAAACTTGCCACAAAGTATCCTTGGGTGAAGGGGATTCAAATTTGTTCAAATGAAGGGCCACGCCCTCATTCAAGGGGAGATAATTGGGAATTAATAATAATTTGGTGGCAAATTTTAAAAATCTTCTTCTCAAGAACCACTGTGCCAGGAAAGATGAAACTTATGGGGAAACATCCTCAGGTAGTGTAGATTCAAGTTTGTTCAAATCATGACCCCCCGGGGGTAGGGCGGGGCCATAATGGCCGACCAAAGTTTTACATAGAAATATATAGGAAAATTCTTTAAAAATCTTCTTCTCAAGAATGACAAAGCCATAATTCATCATATTTATATGGGAGCATGCTCAGGTAGTGTAGATTCAAGTTTGTTCAAATCATGACCCCCGGGGGTAGGGCGGGGCCTAAATGGCCAACCAAAGTTTTTAAAGATATATATAGGAAAATTCTTTAAAAATCATTTTCTAAAAAATAGCAAATCCATGATTGGTCTTGGGACTACTTTTGAATTTAGACTTTACAATAAAAAGCCATTTTCTACTTTTTCCTACCCTTAGTGCTCAGGTGAGCGATGTGGCCCATGGGCCTCTTGTTGTTTATATCCGATATCAACTTGCTGTTTGTCTGTGCATCTGTCCATTTCATACATAACAAAATTTCGTCGCAGTTATCTCAGCAACTACTCATCGCAGATGCTTGAAATTTTAACATAATCTTCTCTGAGGCATGGCATATGGTGGGATACATTTTTGTTCAAATCCAATGTCAACTTCCTGTTTTTCTGTGTCTTTCATACATAACAAATCTTCGTCGCAGTTTTCTCATTAGCTATTCATAGCAGATGCTTGAAATTTTATTACACTCTGTGTTGAGGCATGCCATATGGTGGGATTAATTTTGATATGAATCTGATGTCAACTTCATATTTTTCTGTGCATCTGCCTGTAATTGAACTTGTGTATATTAAAATGATATTGCTTATTTACGTCAGAGCGGGGTATTACTAGTGAGCATTGGCTCACAGATTTCTTGTATTTATATTAATTTCGATGGGACAAATTTCTGCGAAAAATTTGACCGCGTACATAGGGTAAATTAATACCAGTATATTATTGTAGATTATTAAAGTTATGGGTTACCATGGTTAATGTCATTTCACCCCAAACCAAGGTTCCATACATAAGCATCCTAAAGTTTTATTGCTCCCATGTACATGCATGAGCATCACAAATTTGATTCAGGAATGTCTGTCATTTCACAGGTACCTCTTATACATAACTTGATATTGGTCCACTCATGAATTTGATTTATTTGTACATTAATATTATTGACGTATTATTAAGTCAGAATTTAAGACACAATTTACTCTTTATCATTGTTGCTGACAAGTCTTTAGGTTCATGAAGTGAGTATTGGAGGGTGCTTGTGAATTAAGATATTTGTACACATACAAGATCACATGCAGGTTTAATATTGCCTGGGTTGGTTGTTAACTAAAAGGAAAGTCATTTTTTAAGAACAGTTTTTAAAAGCCTTCAACA